TGCTCAGTGCCGCCTGGTAGCCTCCCGGTTCGAAGGCCGAGAGCGCCACGCACCCCGGCTGCACAGCTGGCCCGCTTCCTGTCACCCCCCTCTGCGTCGCGGAGAGGGGCTCCTGACCCCTGACAGCCGGGTCTCGACTCACCGCCGCGCTCGCTCCGCATGCCGATGGTGCCGCCGGTGTAGACGGCCAGCAGCCGGCGCTCAGGCTCCAGGGCACGCGCCATGCCTGGGACCACAGGAGCGCGGAGGGCCAGGGTGACTGGGGCTGCTGCGGCCGCGGGCGGGGCGAGACCTGCTGGGGGCGGGGCCCGTCGAGGGTGAGGGGCGAGGGCTAGGGTCGGTCGGGTCGATCCTTGACTTCCGGCCTGGCAGCGCCCTGCGCAGGGTCACACGCCCACCTGGAGAGCCATAGGCAGCCCTGCCAGAGCGCCCGGCTCCACCGCCCCGGGCCCAGAGGGCAGGGCCAGGCAGGCGCCGCCCAGTTCCGAAGAGAGGAGCCCGCAGGCTGCAGTCGGGGGCCTGCCGTGCCTGACCCGCGCTGCCGGGCCCTGGAGCCCTGACCCTGTGCGCTCGGGCGCCCCGCCTGCTCTCAGCACACCGGCTTGGGTTAGGCTGCCTTGCGAGCCGCTCCGATCCCCTACGGCTCCGAATACACGCTTTCTGAGGCAGAGCTGGGGCTTCCCCTGCATTCGGGGTGCACAATCGAGCCCCTCAACACCCCTCTACCAGTGGCCAGTTCGCGTCTCAGGCCTCCTGCCCCTTGAAAGGCTGTCTGGGCCCCACAGCAGGCTGGGTGAGCTCTTTAAGGCCTGAGCATCTGGACTCCCTCAGAACCCCCTGGCCAGCACAGGGCCCAGGCAGCCTCCTCTGGTCAAACTAGCTGGCGGCTTTCTTCCAGAGCGTGAGAACCAGGGCCCACAGGAGCCAGAGCTGCAGCCGCCTGCTTCCACCTTGTCTGCCTGCCTCTGTCCAGAGCAGTCCACGAGGTAGCCGTGTGCCCACCCACATCTAGCATCAGCTCCAGGCAGGGTGTGTCCCCGGAGACCACCTTCTACTGTGAGCGACCACAGAGGACAGGGACTACGGTGCGGTCCAACAGGGGCCAGGGAAGGTCTCGCTGAAGGGTGGACATTCGAGCAGCACCAGGACAGATCGCGTGTGCCAAGCAGCGGGGGCAGAGGAACCAAGTCCCAGGCAGGAGGCGTGGGCATGCTGAGTCCCCACGATGCCCAGGGGACCGGGCGTGAGCCTGTAGACTTCAGGCATGGTCAAGGCATGGATTCCCATATGGTGGACTGCAGTTCGAGTCCTGGACCTGGTGGTTGTTTTCTCGCTTTTCTTCTCTTTCTCTCTCTGGTGAGTGCACATGCTCTATAGCAAATTAAAATAATAATAAAATTATTATTTTTGAGAGGTTTTTGCTATAGGGCACATGCACTCGCCAGAGAGAGAGAGAAAGCGAGAAATCACCCCCGGGGGGATGGCCACGCTGCAACCCCTTCTCCTCCATTCTCCTCTCGGAATCTTGGGTACGCACACACACGCGCCCGGTGTGAGTTTTAAGCCACCAGGTGCAGGGCTCGAACTGTGGTCCACTACATGGGAGTCCAGCGACATAGCCACTGCGCCAACTGCTGGTGCCAATAAAATTATTCTTTAAAAATTTTTTTAAATAAAAATTTTTGTGCAAAGAAGTCAATAGAGTGAAAAGGCAACCTACTGACGGGAGAACATATATATCTGGAAATGAAAGTCCAATAAGGCATTAAAGTCTAAATTATGTTAAAGAAAAAACTTCCTACAATTTAACAACGCAAAATCAATCTGATTTTAATATGGGCAAAAGACTGAGCCATTTCTCCAAAGATGATAAAGCAGATGGCCAACATGCGTATGAAAAGGTGCTTAGCATCGCTGACCATGGAGAACGCCTGCCCACACCACAGTGAGCTGTCACCTTACGCCCACTGGGAGAGGTGCCGTCAAAGACAAGCCGGGAAAGGTGTGCTTGCAGGGCGTGGAGCTAGGATGCTTGTGCATTGTCAGTGGGACTGGGAGATGGTACTGCTGCTAGGAAAAACAGTGTGGCGGCTCCTCAAACATTAAAAAGCAAGTCCGTCCTGGTAGCACAGTCAGTAGCAAACTAAACTGCAGTGCTAGCCACCGTGTGGCTGACTGCGGTTCAGATCCTGGGGTCGGCTTGAAAACGCACCTGGAGCATGCACACGTGCCCGAGGCCCTGACACGTCAGGGCTGGGAAGGCGGCACAGTGCGACAAGACCTTGTGCACAGAGCCACACTCTGTTCTCTTCCTCTCTGTCTCACGTGCACACGTGTGTTCTCTCTACAGAGTCAAGAAATAACCTTTAAAAAACTGACAAATAGAACTACCATACGACCTGGCGATTCCGTTCAAATATATTCCCAAAGTAATAAAAAAGAGAGTCTCAAAGGGGCATCTGCACATCCATGTTCATAACAGCCACGTGGTAGAAGCAGCCCAAGCGTCTGTCAGGGACAGACAGGCAGAACGTGCTGTAGACACCGAAAAGGAGAAGACCTGTCACAGCTACAAGGTGGATGAGCCCTGAGGACTTTATGCCAAGTGAAACGGGCCAGTCACACACAGATAAACACTGAACGACCCACGTGTATGAGGAACCTAGACTGTGATCTGATGGTGACCCCTAACTTCATGTGCTGGAACCTCCTCCCAGTGCAGTAGGACTGAGAAGCCGGGCTCTGGGGCAGTGTTTTGGGCTTGGGGGTGGAGCCCTCAAGCACACGAGTGCTGTTACAACAGGGTTCACTTAGGGACCTTTTCCCTTCCCGCTCTCTGCCTGTCAGTGTCAGTATGTTGCAGTCCCTCCTCTGCTGCGGAGGCGGTGTTGAAGGTGCCATGCTGGAAACGCAGACCAGGCCCTCGCTACACAGATGTCTGCACCTTGATATTGGACTTCCCAGAATCCAGAACCGCGGTAATAAATTTGTCCTAAAAAATTAAATAAATTAATTAATTTTGAGAGATCTTTTGTGGTAGGGTACATTTGCTTGCTGGAGAAACGGAGAGACAGAAAGCAAGAAATCACCCCCTAGGGAAGATGGCCACACTACAATCCCTTCTCCTCCATTCTCCTCTCAAGCTTTTGGGCATGCATACCCACGTACCCCACATGAGTTTCAAGTTGCTAGGTCCAGGACTTGAACTGCAACTGACCACATGAAAGTCCAGCGCCTTAAACACTATGCCACCTGCTGGCCCCTTAAATGTTCTATTTTAAAATTAAATAAATATAAAATCCTGTTTTTTATAAATCTAGTTTCTGATATGGTCAAAGCACAAAACAAAGATCCGAGATTTGTCAAATTCAGAGACAGAAGGTGGGACAGTGGTTTTTGAGGGGAGAGGGAATGAGTTGTTTACTTTTTAGACTCGCCGGATGAAGTTATGGTGGTCTCTTTCTCAGGAAGATGAGTGTTTTGAAGTAGACCTCCATTTTGAACTCTCTATGTTGGAAACTTGCTTTCTCCTTTTACCTCCAGTAAGCAGTGATCAACACTCCTGCTCCCTACAGAACTCCCTGCCCTCAGATGTTCCTTAGTGGTGTGGTCAGTAGCCAGCCCCCTTGCCCTGAGCCAGGAAGGCCATTAAGATTCCCGGCATTTAGGTAGGGATGGAACACACCCTTAGGAATGATTAACCTGCTTGCTTCCTTCTGTAAACTGCTCCTGAGCTGTCAGCCCCTGCCCCCACCCTTTGTGATCAACCCAGGAAAAAAAAAAAGATTTTTGCCTTTATAAGCACCCTTCTCCCTACACTTGAGGCTGCGGGGTTTTGAGAGACATGAGTCTCCCTGTATGCCGCCGGCTTCATCAATAGAACGCCAATAACTTCGGCTGTGTCTGGATGTCCACCTAGATCTTGCTGATTAGACCACAGCAATGTAACACTACTGAACCCTTCTACTGTGAGCGACCACAGAGGACAGGGACTACGGTGCGGTCCAACAGGGGCCAGGGAAGGTCTCGCTGACGGGCGGACATTCGAGCAGCACCAGGACAGATCGCGTGTGCCAAGCAGCGGGGGCAGAGGAACCAAGTCCCAGGCAGGAGGCGTGGGCATGCTGAGTCCCCACGATGCCCAGGGGACCGGGCGTGAGCCTGTAGACTTCAGGCATGGTCAAGGCATGGATTCCCATATGGTGGACTGCAGTTCGAGTCCTGGACCTGGTGGTTGTTTTCTCGCTTTTCTTCTCTTTCTCTCTCTGGTGAGTGCACATGCTCTATAGCAAATTAAAATAATAATAAAATTATTATTTTTGAGAGGTTTTTGCTATAGGGCACATGCACTCGCCAGAGAGAGAGAGAAAGCGAGAAATCACCCCCGGGGGGATGGCCACGCTGCAACCCCTTCTCCTCCATTCTCCTCTCGGAATCTTGGGTACGCACACACACGCGCCCGGTGTGAGTTTTAAGCCACCAGGTGCAGGGCTCGAACTGTGGTCCACTACATGGGAGTCCAGCGACATAGCCACTGCGCCAACTGCTGGTGCCAATAAAATTATTCTTTAAAAATTTTTTTAAATAAAAATTTTTGTGCAAAGAAGTCAATAGAGTGAAAAGGCAACCTACTGACGGGAGAACATATATATCTGGAAATGAAAGTCCAATAAGGCATTAAAGTCTAAATTATGTTAAAGAAAAAACTTCCTACAATTTAACAACGCAAAATCAATCTGATTTTAATATGGGCAAAAGACTGAGCCATTTCTCCAAAGATGATAAAGCAGATGGCCAACATGCGTATGAAAAGGTGCTTAGCATCGCTGACCATGGAGAACGCCTGCCCACACCACAGTGAGCTGTCACCTTACGCCCACTGGGAGAGGTGCCGTCAAAGACAAGCCGGGAAAGGTGTGCTTGCAGGGCGTGGAGCTAGGATGCTTGTGCATTGTCAGTGGGACTGGGAGATGGTACTGCTGCTAGGAAAAACAGTGTGGCGGCTCCTCAAACATTAAAAAGCAAGTCCGTCCTGGTAGCACAGTCAGTAGCAAACTAAACTGCAGTGCTAGCCACCGTGTGGCTGACTGCGGTTCAGATCCTGGGGTCGGCTTGAAAACGCACCTGGAGCATGCACACGTGCCCGAGGCCCTGACACGTCAGGGCTGGGAAGGCGGCACAGTGCGACAAGACCTTGTGCACAGAGCCACACTCTGTTCTCTTCCTCTCTGTCTCACGTGCACACGTGTGTTCTCTCTACAGAGTCAAGAAATAACCTTTAAAAAACTGACAAATAGAACTACCATACGACCTGGCGATTCCGTTCAAATATATTCCCAAAGTAATAAAAAAGAGAGTCTCAAAGGGGCATCTGCACATCCATGTTCATAACAGCCACGTGGTAGAAGCAGCCCAAGCGTCTGTCAGGGACAGACAGGC